ATATATATATATATATATATATATATATATATATAGAGAGAGAGAGAGAGAGAGAGAGAGAGAGAGATCACATGCTTTAAAAGTAGAATTTTTTTTTGATTGTTAATAAGTTGGATGGATTTAGAATTTGATACCTAATTCCGTGGCCTGGTCCACATATTATATCTGTTGCTCGAACATTTTTAGACCCACTCACGATAGAAATACAATCATCACCTGCAAAAATATTTAGAAATACAGAAAGGTGAAAAAAATCCCATTTTCTTCTCAAAATTTTCTAATTTATCATGCATAAGAAACCGTTGCACGTGTAAAAAAAACACAATTTTGACTTTTTTAAACATATTTTTATTATTAACTGATGTGAATTATTTGATTAATAGTTTTTACCAATCATCGAATGGTTATGAAATTATGATTATGCCACATTAGTTGATAAGGAAAAATTGGTAAAAACAATATTACGATACCGCAAGGTTACTTTTTCGTACCATACCATAAGTTATGAGTCAATCAAGTGAGGTTATGACTCAAATAAAGGAGATTACAACTCATGTGGTCGCTTGGGATCAACCACAATGAGTTATAACGTTTGTTATGACACCAAATCTAGTACCACAATCATTCTCCTAATCTATTAGTGTAACATGGGTAAAATACAGTAATAGGACTAAGAATTTATGCTTTCTTGGCTCCTTTCCTTTACCTGTTCTAATGAGAGAGCTCATAATCTGAATATTTTGGGTTCCAGTAACATGAATTCCATCAGTGTTGGGGCTCTTTTCTGGTGCAATTACTTTGAGATTTGAAGCTATAACATTTACACAATCTTGAAAAGTTAGATGCATTTGTTGTGCATTTTTAATCCTTATGTTGGCTACTCTCAAATTTATGCAATTGTCGAAGGTCACAGCCTGCAAAAAAAGTTCAAAAACTCTTAAAATCCTGAAATTAAACACTAGATTTTGTTCATGTTAATTCTTTGTAAAGCTTGGTAGAAGAGCCGCAGCCTTACCGTTGGTGCACCCACGCAAGGCTGCATAAAAAACAATGGAAAAATATGTCAAATATTAGTCAACTTGTAGGTATATAAATATAATAAAAAAAAAGGGTAATAGACAACGGGAAATCATCTCAACCACATGTCTTTTTTACCATGCTAATGGAGAGTCCACCCAAGTAGAGGGATTAACTCGGGCTTAATCCAACTTTTAAAATTTGCTACCCAAACTTGAATTTAACTCTAAACATTTATCTAATTTGAACTTGGGTTGAACCCGGATTATACAATTTAGTTTGAAATCAAGTTCAAGTTGGGGTTTGAATTTCTAGTTACACAATTCAGGGCCAAAATTTGGGGACAGACTGAATCCAATAAATTTGGGCGTGGACCAAAAAATTTGAGACCTCAACTTAAGTACTGCTCGAATTAAAATTGAGCTAGGATTTTTTGACTGAAGACCAACTTTAGTATTTAAAATCTCTATCCAAGTATTCTATATTTGAAGTTGGATTCAGGTCAATTTGTCCGACTTACACCTCTAATGATTGTAATAAAAAGCTCGGATGCACAGAATCACCTACTAAGTATTCAATTAGAGAATTTTGTCACCAATACTTACGAGGCTTTTGTTGATTTTGCAAGAGTTTCGCCACCATGGCCTTCCATTTCCATTGATGGTCCCACCACCTTCAACTATGAAGTTGTTCATTTTTTCAAACACAATCCATTGTCTTGGGCTTTCCTTGTAATCAGATCTGCGAGGAGAAGCTTTGATTGTTCCATGGACCTAATTAAGATTACCCAAAAAAAATAAAAAATAAAAAANCCACTCACGATAGAAATACAATCATCACCTGCAAAAATATTTAGAAATACAGAAAGGTCAAAAAAATCCCATTTTCTTCTCAAAATTTTCTAATTTATCATGTATAAGAAACCGCACGTGTAAAAAAACACAATTTTGACTTTTTTAAACACAATTTTATTATTAACTGATGTGAATTATTTGATTAGTAGTTTTTACCAATCATCGAATGGTTATGAAATTATGATTTTGCCACATTAGTTGATAAGGAAAAATTGGTAAAAACAATATTAACTTAAGAAAAAGGTTACGATACCGCAAGGTTACTTTTTCGTACCATACCATAAGTTATGACTCAATCAAGTGAGGTTATGACTCAAATAAAGGAGATTACAACTCATGTGGTCGCTTGGGATCAACCACAATGAGTTATAACGTTTGTTATGACACCAAATCTAGTACCACAATCATTCTCCTAATCTATTAGTGTAACATGGGTAAAATACAGTAATAGGACTAAGAATTTATGCTTTCTTGGCTCCTTTCCTTTACCTGTTCTAATGAGAGAGCTCATAATCTGAATATTTTGGGTTCCAGTAACATGAATTCCATCAGTGTTGGGGCTCTTTTCTGGTGCAATTACTTTGAGATTTGAAGCTATAACATTTACACAATCTTGAAAAGTTAGATGCATTTGTTGTGCATTTTTAATCCTTATGTTGGCTACTCTCAAATTTATGCAATTGTCGAAGGTCACAGCCTGCAAAAAAAGTTCAAAAACTCTTAAAATCCTGAAATTAAACACTAGATTTTGTTCATGTTAATTCTTTGTAAAGCTTGGTAGAAGAGCCGCAGCCTTACCGTTGGTGCACCCACGCAAGGCTGCATAAAAAACAATGGAAAAATATGTCAAATATTAGTCAACTTGTAGGTATATAAATATAATAAAAAAAAAGGGTAATAGACAACGGGAAATCATCTCAACCACATGTCTTTTTTACCATGCTAATGGAGAGTCCACCCAAGTAGAGGGATTAACTCGGGCTTAATCCAACTTTTAAAATTTGCTACCCAAACTTGAATTTAACTCTAAACATTTATCTAATTTGAACTTGGGTTGAACCCGGATTATACAATTTAGTTTGAAATCAAGTTCAAGTTGGGGTTTGAATTTCTAGTTACACAATTCAGGGCCAAAATTTGGGGACAGACTGAATCCAATAAATTTAGGCGTGGACCAAAAAATTTGAGACCTCAACTTAAGTACTGCTCGAATTAAAATTGAGCTAGGATTTTTTGACTGAAGACCAACTTTAGTATTTAAAATCTCTATCCAAGTATTCTATATTTGAAGTTGGATTCAGGTCAATTTGTCCGACTTACACCTCTAATGATTGTAATAAAAAGCTCGGATGCACAGAATCACCTACTAAGTATTCAATTAGAGAATTTTGTCACCAATACTTACGAGGCTTTTGTTGATTTTGCAAGAGTTTCGCCACCATGGCCTTCCATTTCCATTGATGGTCCCACCACCTTCAACTATGAAGTTGTTCATTTTTTCAAACACAATCCATTGTCTTGGGCTTTCCTTGTAATCAGATCTGCGAGGAGAAGCTTTGATTGTTCCATGGACCTAATTAAGATTACCCAAAAAAAATAAAAAATAAAAAAATATATGAAATTCTAATAAAGAGTTAGCAAAAGCCATCATGTTTTGATTTCTTATCGCAAACTGATAGCAAAACGAAATAGAAAAACACAAAAACATGCACGATTATGTATTTATGCTTGAAAAGTTACGGTCATGGATTAAACAAAAAGGTGAAAAGTTCACAATTAACAATGAACGTTACCAATTGTTCTCGAAACAAAAGCAAGAGAACAATCGCACTCTCTATTGTGAACGTGTAGCACAGTGGATGATTAAGTTAGAACGAAATCAAAAACAATGACCGCAAGATTTTTCGAAAACCCGAAAAACTTTCTAGCTACTATTTTAATTCATGCATTACAAACTTACCATCATNTGTTGTGAACGTGTAGCGCAGTGGATGATTAAGTTAGAACGAAATCAAAAACAATGACCGCAAGATTTTTCGAAAACCAGAAAAACTTTCTAGCTACTATTTTAATTCATGCATTACAAACTTACCATCATTGTAAGGACGGATTTGCAAGGACCTGAAAAAGTAATTGGCTTAAGATGATATGTCCTATTAGCCGGTATTACAAGAACTGCTACTCCTTCAAAAGAACAAGCCTCCTTCCAAGCTTTATTGAATGCCTGAAGGAAAAATATTAAAAATAACATTTATAATTGAACATAAGGCATCGTTTGACAATGCTATTTTAAAATGTCTTTTATTTTTCGGGGCAAATGACACTTTTTACGCTGGAAAATTATTAAAATTTTAATTTATACCTTAAAAAATTAAAATTTTCATACTGCACCCTTAATTAGACAAAAATATAGCAAAGCGGTCCAAAACATTTTTATTTAATTTAGGGTGCATTTGTGAGAATTTTAATCATTCAGGGTAAAAACTAAAAATTCAAAGATCCTTAAGGGTGAAAAGTGTCATTTTTTTATTCCGTAAAGTTTGTATTTATTTTTTTTCAGTTATTCTTTTTATTTATTTGAGTTTTCTTCTTTCCTTTTGAACTTTATCTTATGTACATATATTATTTATATTCTACTATGCATGTAAACCATTTTTGCAAAATCGTAATTACCCATAATTTTGTTTGTTACGAAATTATTTTTTCTTAAAAAAAACTTTAAAAACATTGTCAAACAGAACATAAACTTGTAACATACATAATACAAAAACAACTGTGTCAACAACTACATAACTACAAATGCAACAAACATTAGGGTCACTATTCTTAAACTGATCATAGACATGAATTAATAAAGTTCAACCAAATTAAAGCTTTCATTTTAGCTGTTTTAATTCTAAATATTCAATTTCATCTTATAATTTTGTGAATATACTACCTCAGAATCGTCTGTTTTATCACCCCGAGCTCCGAAATCATCCACATTGAATGTCCATGGTGAGGTTGCTTTGGTACCTACTTGAACAAGCTTTCTATATATATCTTTCTCACGCTCAACCATGGTCGGAAAGTTTGAGCTGAAGTTGCCGTGTCGATTGATAATGGTGGTGGCAATAGATGTAGAGTACACAGTTGACATTGGCTTGTGGCCCGGGGTCTCATCAAGATTATCAGAGAGTGGGACCTTTTGGAAATTGCAAAAACATGAGGGGCATGACATTAAAATGATGAAGAGAGGGACAACAAGGCTTTGTAGAACCATTTTCATCTTCACTTTCTGCGGAGAGAGAGAGAGAGAGAGAGTAAAACGTCCAGGAAATAGGAAACTTGCTGCAATGACAGAAGGAATGGCAATGAAAATGTTATACCATCAATAGCATATATATACTAGAAAAAAAGTTGCTTTAGAGAGAGAGAGAGGAGCAATGGCTGGTTAGGGAATGTTCTTGACTATGATTCAAAGGTATGGACTGAGGTTCAAGAGATGGAGGAGAAAGTGTAATTTGGCAGGTGGCTGACTCTAACATCAGGTATCTCTCAACTAAGGATTATCAATTGTTTAGTTTACTTATGCTTGTTTACCAACACACAAGCATGCACGTGGAGATGGGCTTTCTTAACATGTATGCATGCTGACCCAACAACATATATAGCATCAATTGGACTTTTCCTGTCATACATAGAATTTAGGTTCAATCCAATTTAATTTATCTAAAAGATTTGAGTCCACTAATAAATATAAATTTATTTGTTAATTTTTTAATGTTTACACACATATCGAACATAACCCGTATAACTCATGACCTAAACTATTTTATATGTTAATTTATAAAATGAGAAATGTTGAAAACTATAAATTTTGTACCAAATTTGTAAATAAGCTCAGGCATGTACTTTTTAAAGCATGAAGTCCAGCTTAATTGAATTTTTTTGTCATGTAATCCAAAATAATGTCTCTTTTTTTAAATGATAATATTACCCTTTGTGTCTTGTACTTTCTCAACCGCAAAGCGAATAAGAGTCATTATATTTCTCACCGTTAAATCCAACTCTTCTTCCATAGAAATTCACCACCACCCACCACCCACCACCCACCACACCAACAGCGAACTACACAATAGTGGACCTCTTATCTTAAAAGTGCACAGTTTTAATCCTGTCACCGTCACGGGAGTTCCTATTATAATCTAAAAAAATTATCCATTGAACAGGTGGAATCCCTCAAAAGCTCGAACACAAAACATCCAATAGTTGGGCAACTACGTGACGTTAGAGACTCGTTATGCTTATCGTGTTCTATAAACAAAAATTACAAGTGGTCTTATATCTGTCTGTAACCGAAGTTATGGACCAAAAATTGACTTTTCAAGCTTCCTCAACCTTTGTTTGGCAAATTGACTTAGAAAAAAAATATTAATTGTTGAAAAAATCACTCATATTCAAAGTTTGAATGCCAATATATATTATATATATGGNTACAAGCTTCCTCAACCTTTGTTTGGCAAATTGACTTAGAAAAAAAATATTAATCGTTGAAAAAATCACTCATATTCAAAGTTTGAATGCCAATATATATTATATATATGGTTGAATGAGTAAACCCAAATTCAACCACAGTATTTGCAGCATGGAAATCCAACATTAAAACCAAGTTTTTTTTTTTTTAATGTTTATGGAGATTTGTTTATACTAAACTAGAGCAGCAATGGGTTGGCTAACAAGATGGGTTGAAATCCATTTCAAATATTGTGAATTAAAGTGGGTTCAATTATACTTAAGTGAGTGTCTTATATATGAANATGGAAATCCAACATTAAAACCAAGTTTTTTTTTTTAATGTTTATGGAGATTTGTTTATACTAAACTAGAGCAGCAATGGGTTGGCTAACAAGATGGGTTGAAATCCATTTCAAATATTGTGAATTAAAGTGGGTTCAATTATACTTAAGTGAGTGTCTTATATATGAATACATGATAGATGATTTAGTTTTAAACCGTTGTGAATTCCCAACGACTAGTGTTGTGTCTTACATCAAAAATATTTAAGAGGACATTTTAAATACTAGCTATTGTTTATGTTTGAAGGCAAAAGGTAATAAAAAATGGTAAACAATAAACATATTTGTGTCCATATCCAAAATCAAATCACAAATATAGAAGAGAGATAAATGAATTTAAACATTGGTTGTAGTGGGGGTGAGAGGTGATGGACGGCAGTGGTGGTGGTAGGAGACGGTGATGGTTGTGGTGGGTGGAAATGACCATGGTGGTGACGGTGGTGGTGGTGGCGGCGATAGTGGTGGTGACGGCGACGACGACGGTGGTGGCTGCGTTGGCGGTGGCAACAGTGGTGGTGGTGGTGGCGGCAACGATGGAGATGACGACGGCGATAATTGTGGCGGCGATGGTGGTAACGACAGTGGTGATGGTGGTGGCGGCGATAATGGTGGTGGTGTTGGCGGTGGTGGTGACGGTCGTAGTGATGGCGATGGTGGTGGTGTTGGCGGTGGTGGTGGCGGTCGTAGTGATGGCGATGGTGGTGGTGGTGGTGGTGAGGGTGGTGTGGGTGCGGCAGCGATGGTGGTGGGGTCTATTTTAAAAAGTCACTCCAAACACACTATTATGAGTCATTTTTTCTATTAAATTTAGCATGTTAATATTAGCTATTAGATTAACTTTAAAATAAAATTTAAAGTTACATCAACCGCGAATAATAAAAATTATTTTATTTATTTTATGAGATTTGATTTATAAACTATTTTATTATATAGATATATTTAGGACCAATTACTTTGTACCCTATTAACACTGACCAAAAAAATAACAGAATTTAAGAGAAGAGTCACATTATAATGTTTTTAATACATTAAAGATTAATATCGGAGACGAGAGTACATTATAAAAGTCCTCATTAGTATATGTTTATAAGTTTTTATCCACGTTTTATTTGTGACATACTTAGCTTTGCGCCATTGTGTCATCAAAAGTTCAAACACACGGCGTCAAAGTTAGGAAACGTGGCATTAGAAAGACATTCTACTTTTGTTTCTTGTTTTATAAACAGAGGCGAGTGGTCTTATAACCGTCTGTATGGACCACCTGGGTTGAATTCAAGATCGACGTTAGTGGAGGTCTGGAGCAAAGATTGGCTTTCCAAGCTACCTCATTCTAATCAAATTGACTGGCGTATTGAATTGAGATTTCCTTAAATATATTTTTATATGATAAATTATTTATCGTGAATTTAAGTGCAACACATTATTTATAAAAAGGTCGTCCTCCATTAGGATTAATAATCGAGTCAAAATTTGCGAATTTGAGTCGAGACTGTCGAATTTGTTTTTTTTAAATGAACTTATAATATTATTCAAGTTCGACTAGTTTAGATAATAAGCCGAACCCTAGCTCAAACAAAAAATCAAACCAAGTCTTATCTCCCAATCATTTGGAGTCGGTTATACGAGTCCGTTTTCGTCATTCATTCCGATCATGCACTATACACTCGTTTAAATTAAATATTTTCATATCTTTTCTCATTATTTTGTTCAATATTAATTTAGGTCTACCTCTACTTCTAGTACCATTAAGAGAGATTATATCACTTTTTCGAACCGGTGCTTCTATCAGGCTCCGTTGAACATGACCAAACTATCTTACTCTATTTTCTCTTAACTTATCTTAAATTGGAGCTACTCATGTCATTTCTCTAATACAGTCATTTCGTATCTAATCCTTTCTAGTTTTTCCACACACCCACCTTAGCATTCTCATCTCCGCTACACTCATTTTGTCACTATGTTGTTTCCTAATTATCCAACATTTCGTCTCATATAACATTGTTGTCTTTATAGCTATTCGATAAAACTTACCTTTCAATTTTATTGGTATCCTTTTGTCACATAATATTCTAGAGACTTTCCTCCACTTAAGCCAACCGATGTCGATTTTATAAATTACATCATCTCCAATCTCTTCATCATTTTTAATGATCGATTCTAGATATCTAAATTATATACTCATTAGTATTTCTTGATTTTCAATTTTGATTTTTTCACTATGTGTACTTTTTCTACTACTAAAATTGTATTGCATATCTTCAGTCTTACTACTATTTATTTTAAATCCTTTCGACTCGAGTGTCTCGCTCCATATTTTTAGTTTATTGTTAATCCTCATTTAAGTTTCNTCCTATTTATTTTAAATCCTTTTGACTCGAGTGTCTCGCTCCATATTTTTAGTTTATTGTTAATCCTCATTTAAGTCTCATCTACTAATACAATATCATCTGCAAAAACTGTGAGACATTATCTTTAATGTGCTTAGTGAGTTTATCCATAATTAGAGCGAATAAATATAGACTTAGGGCCGATTTGAAAATTCTTTACTTTCTCCCACGAAAGACCTAATTGTAGTCATAACCCCGTCATAAATGTCTTTTATCACTTCAATATACTTATCCGTTACTCATTTTCTCTCAAGCACTCTCCATATTACATTCATTAATTCATTACAAGTTGTGAAAGTACATTCACTGATTCATACAAAATCTAAATAGTATGCATCTTATAATGAGTCATCACAAATATGACATCCATATATATTTCTTTTAATAAATGATAGTGTTACATTACAGTGTAACATTGTAAAGTGACACTGTTGTTAGATTTGAGAGTAACCAGAATCGTTTAATATTAAAAAAAAAATTATGACTCTCCCTTCCCCTCTCCCTCTCCCTCCTACCCGCCCCCCCCAAAAAAAAATTAACATTAAAAAGTTATAAAAAAATAAATTTCAAAATCTAGACTAAGTCATTAAGATATATTCCATATGGTATAATTTTGATTTTCAAATATGTTTAATCTCTTAAAATATGAAACCATTAATATAATAAATCAAATCCCATAAAAAATGGGATTGCCAAATTTACAGCCTTCAAATAAATCTATCAATGAGTACCTAACTACAATATATTTCAAGTTAAAGGTAATTATCTNGGGTACCGAACTACAATATATTTCAAGTTAAAGGTAATTATCTATAAAAGATTTTAGTCAATGTATTTTTTTTACAATTAAGTAGTTTAAAAGGTACATGTTCACAATTTTCCATTAAATTTATAATTGATCTAACCAGTTAACCCAATAACTCATTGACCAATTCTTTTGCCAGGTCAATGCTAGGGCCCGAATTACTAACTATGCTTTAAACGAGCAACCATATTGTGAAGATCATGTAAGCCTTATTAGGTATAACAAAAAAAAATTGAAA